AAGCGATGACAGTGCAGTTGTTCCTCTTGCTGAAAACAAGATTCAGCTTTCAATTCAATTTTCTCACTTTTCTAATAGGGCAAGATTCAACCTTGTCTTTGAGGTATGTAGAATAGAAAGCTAAAATTCTTTTGGAAAGAAAAATCTTCTTAACAGCCCAGGGCATTTTGAAAATCCTTTGGGAAGTTCTTGTTTACTTGGGTACCTCTGTCCATAGGACTTTGGTGAAATGCTTTGACCCCAGCCAGAGACTGGGGAACAGAAAAAGACGGACGTGTGAGAGGAGGCTCAGTTATGTCGGGTAGAGTCAGTGAGGAGGACAGCAAGAGCCCCAGAGTGTGGGCAGACTGAGAGAGGGCCTGGGCGCTCACCCCTGCCAGCCTCTTTCAGGAGTCCAAGCCGTATCCCCTTCTCTTAACAGTTAAGCCCTCAGCTATGGGGAGATGGAAACTGGGGTGATGGCAGAGGAAGTTTGTCAGCACGGTGTGTCTTGTTGACTTGCACATGCAAGAGGGGTCTTGTGTAACCACAGTGCTGAAGGCACTTGCACGAACAGTTCCAGCGCTCACCCACCTGACTTGGGGCTCTTTATGGGGAAGTGGTTTCCGCAGTGTGAGGAGGTGAAATACCAGTGTCATCCCAGGACCACACTTAGCTGGTACCACAGCTGTGTAGTCATAATTTCCTCTGTCAGAGGAGAAACTTCTATATTATTCCACAGATGTTCTAACTGCACAGCTGTGACTATGCACTGACACCACGAGTTCTGAGCAATACAACTCAAATGCACGCACACCCAGGATCAGTGTGTTAGCAAAGTCCGGGCCACGGGAGTCTTGAGGGTATTGCCAGGCTTTCAGACATCTACTCTTTCAAGAGAGATTTATCAAGTACACTAGTCAAAGGACAGGAAGATGTGTCCAATATTGGTGTTAATATACCTATAGAAACTTAAAATGAGCTAACCTTTCACCAAGAAATTGTATGTTTAAGAATCTATTACTAAAAAAAAAAAGAATCTATTACTACAGTGACTGTCTGGCAAGTGCAAGGTCCTGAGTTCTATTCCCAGTATAAAAAAACCTGCTAAGAATCTATTTCTTATACAAAGAGATCAAAATATAAACAAAAGCACATCTATAATCCCAGCTACTCGGGCAGGAGGAAGGAAATTGCAAGTTTGAGACCAGCCTGGACCACTTAGCAAGACCTTGTTTAAAAATAAAAAGGGCTTGGAGTGTAGTCAGTGATAGAGCACTCTTGGGTGGATGCCCTGTACCAAATAAATAAATTGTAAATAAACATTTGGTCTCTGGCACGTTTACAGCAGTTTAACATTGTGTGTAATTTAAATCATCCACAATATGGAGAAGGCAAAGAAAATGAGGACAGCTTCACGTGAGTGGCTATATGACAGGGCAGTCTCTACTCATGACTCACTATTCTAAAAGTTCTCTCCTCTCCCTCTCCCATACCCCATACCCGCCTTCAGCTTATATGAAGGAGGTGGGTGGTATTCGTGGTTCTTCATGTGTTCTAGAGCAGCTCCATTTTCTGGGGTTTACTTTAACACTATAAACAGCTTCTTGCATTTTTAGCCTCAGATTTGGGTAATCATCATTTATGGGACCACAGGAAATATACGTCAGTACCTTCATAAAAATAAAGTAGTTGAAAAACTAGCTATGTCTAACCTAGAGAGAGAGAAAAAAAAAAGTTCATTGCACAAAGTGTTAGCCACCCTCGTATAAAAAAGAGCAACAAAAAAGACAAACATAGTGAAAATATATATTTCCTTAACTGATTCTGTTCTACATTCTTTCTGATATCAGAAACTTGCATTTCTTTTTGGAAGCCACCCTTGCCTATAAGTTTCAGGCTTTCCGTGAAAGTTACCCAATCCACAGAGAGAACCATGTGCCTTGATTCACTTAAGCAAATCAGTGAAACTTATCCTCATAACCACAACATTTGGTTAGGAATTGAATTCTTAAGTCAGTCAAATCTGATAAACTTATTGATTCCTTTTTCAACAGAAACACATACTCATTCTTTTCTGCAAAAAATGAACAAGAATTCATGCCACACTCAGATACTGGCAGCCATCCAGAGACTCTGACATGGAAGGGAAATCAGAAAGAGAAGACAACAAGCCCTGGAACTTTATATGGCTGCTGCACCCAGGTTGCAGAGTCACCTTTATACCCTACAGGTTTGGAGCCACAAGGTTCATCTATTCAAGCCTTTTTGAGTTAGGTTTGCTTGTTTTCCTCCTTGAAACCACCAGCATCCTGAGAAAAGCAGAGACCTGGACCTGTACAGAGATACCTGTACACAGTCTTGTTAAAATAAGCAAAAAACCCAGGCCCAGGCTAAAATACGGAATGTGCTGACATAGAAATGTAGGAGTGTAACCAAGCAAAGTTTGCTTGTGTTGCTGCCTAATGGAGTCTATGACATGAGAGACAGAGTAATGGAGAAAGAAAAGCTTCTATTAGCGACAAGCTGGCAGCATTGGGGATGATCAGCTCTTGCCTTCAATAACCATCACACTGCTACTCCTAAGGCAGTGTCTTTTATAGAGGTTTCAAGGGAAGGTATGTGAGTCCCAGACACGTAGGCACCTCAGTTGCCCAGTATTTCCAAAAATAACCTCCTTTGGAATGTGGGCTGTGTACATCTCATGTCCTACACATAGGTCAACAAGAGTTGCAGTCCAGTGGATCTAAAGACATAAACAATCAGTTTCTGTATTGATTAAAGTGACTGGTGCCTGATTTTTGTTGTGGTCAGCAGTGTTTCTCGCAAACACCCAGGCAGGCAGGACTTTTCCCATAAGTTGGAACTAGGAAGCACTCAAGAACTGAGAGTTTTGTGCACTTTCACTAGCTGAGATTTGTGCCCAGTTAATCCATAAGCAATAGGGCAGGCAGGAGCAAAGAGAAACTTGCAGAATTGGGTTGCCCATGGGCGCTTAAGTGCACATTCAGGGGATCACTAACTGGGAATGGTTTTTAAAGTTTGGTGTGCATCAGAATTACCTGGAGGCTTCATAAACACACAGTATAATTCTTCACCTCCCACAAATTGAAAGAAGGTCTTAGGACTTGCATTTCTAGCATGTTTGTAGGTGTCACTCACACTGCTCTCTGGGACAGACCTACCTTCTGAAAGACACGAGTATTGCAGTGCTGGTTGAACTGTGGCCCGTTGCATTTTAATGCTAAATTCCTATGTTAAATACTAAGACTTCAGCTTTAAGGAATTTACAGCTATCCCTTGCATCCATCAGTAAGGTCCTTTAAGAAGGGTTTAAGTTACCTTGAAATGGGCTCATGTGAAATTAGTAAAGGAAAAACAATTTAGCTTTGCTGAGAGAGGCTTTTCTAATCTGCTGACTGAGAGCCCAGTAACCTGGAGTCATGCAGGAAGGTAACTACAGAAATTTCTATTCTAAGATAAATTTACTGTGAGTAGAGACAGGGAGGTGAGAGACTTAGGAGGTAAGTAGTCCAGCAGCAGCCTTGACTCTCCCTCCTTATCCTTTACTATGAAATAGTTATCTTCTCTACTTAAAGTAGACGGAGCCTCACCCTTAAGGACTGGAGATTGAATCCAGGACCTCACCCATGTTAGGCTAGCACTCTATCACTGAGATACATCCCCAGCCTTTTAAAAATTTGAGACAGGGTCTCGCTAAATTGCCCAAGCTGGTCTTGAATTTGCACTCTTCCTGCTTCAGCCTCACAAGTACAGATTAGAGGCCTCTATCACCAAAACTGGCTGACAATCAGGTCTTTATGAAAGTGCAAGGAGGATGTGGCTTTGGGCCTAGGGTGGAGATTTGTCACCTCCATACGTGATCCTGCAACTCCACAGGGTCCCAGAGGGAGGCCTGAGCACATTCCCAACCCTAATCAAAATACAAAATGTAGTACACAGCTAGACAACCTCTCTAATGCTGGCTCTCTAGTCAATGGAATGATCAGAATGAATAAATTAGAAGTCTACTATCTTTAGAAGGGAGTTACATTGCTGAAGAAACCACAGGACTGGCCATCAAACAACTGTTTATTGCTCAACATCTAAAGAAAACCCCACACTCCTAACCCCCAAGGACAGGAAGTAGGCAGCTCTTTCTCGACCCCAAAAACCAGCTCCTCCCTTGTGATATCCCTCCATGGAGGACACTTTCCCAGGGAGGAGAGCTAGGAACTCCTGTGAGGCTGATCTCAGTGGGATCTAAGTTCTGAAATTCCTGGGGAGCTGTTCACAATGCAGTTTTCTTCCCTTTGTCCCAAAAGTGGTCTCTATTTTATTTACCATGGTTTTTTTTTTCCCCTCACATTTATATTTAGGGAAAAATTGGGGACTGTGAAACTTCTCATTAGCTATGGGCTTTTGAAACTTGAGACAATGCATGAAAAGCATTTAGCCTAGAGTAAGCCTCAAAAATGCTAGCAATTGTTATTAAGAAAGTTTGACTTATAAATATATACTACACAATATTTTGCTTAGGTAGCATCCATTCAAGTGGTGAGTTTTCCTAGCACAGATATATAATGAGTTGACTTATAAATGTTCATAATTCCAGTGGTCTAGAACTGTGTCTCCAGTGTAAAGTGGAGTAGCTCTGTTTCTCCCCTTTTTGTTGTTTTTTTTTTTTTGGTTTTTGTTTTTTTTTGGGGGGGGGGTGTTTTTGGTTTTTTTTCCAGTACAGGGAATCGAACTCATGACTTTGCACTTGCCAGGCAGGCGCTGTGCCACTGAGCTAAATCCCCAGCCCTGTTTCTCCCCTTTTTATTCTTCTCTCAAATTCTTTTCGCTTTTTGTACTGGGAATGCTTGCGCTTACCAGGCAGACGCTGTGCTGCTGAACTATATCCCCAGTCCATTCCCCAAATTCTTATATTTCACATCTGCCTTTTTTTTCCCCCCTCTTTTATTCCTCTTAACCAGTGGCTCTGATTGGCTGGAAAACAAAATCAGACTCAATGCCAGTTTATTTTTTTAAAAAGCATCTTTATTATTTCACCAGGCTGGACACAGCACAGAATAAATACATCCACAATGTATGTGTCAGTTTCGTGTCTTTGGTACCACGTCTGCCCAGAACCAGCTGATGACAGCCACGCAACTGTCACCAAACTGAGGGAGAAAAGGGAGAGGAGACAAGTGGTGAAGAAGGGATCCTGAGATCTTTCATACAAATGGTCATAAACGCAGTATAAAAATAAAAATTAAATTAAAAAATTAAATATCATAAATAAATTAAGATTTAAGTTAAAAGTTCCCATAGGAGAGGTAGCTGTGGAAGTTACAGGGCTGTTTCTGCGGCATAGATCCTTGCTCCCCACAGAGGTCAGTGGGTTCCTGACTGCTTCCAGGCCACTCAGGCATTCAGCTCCAGATCATTGATGTATTCTTGGACCCAGGCCTCACTGGGGTTAGCACAGACCTCCCGTCCTCTCTTGGTTATGAAGCTGTGGAGGGAGGAAAGAAAGGATCAATCACTGCGGACTCCTGTGGGGCCCCCCCGGGGCCAAGGTGGCCCTGCCATCCCAGCCCGTGTCCTGAGTAGCTCAGGGATGCTCTGTCTTATGCCAGTCTAGACAGCTACTCTCAGTGACTCAGTGGGCCCCTCAGAGCATCCAGCCATCTTCTTCCCATCCCCTCCCTCTAGGCTGGGGCAGCCCTCATCATGTACCATCCCCTGCCATCAAGTCAGGTCACACTCCGAGAATGAGGCCCTCTGTATTTGACAGGGTAGGGGCCTTTCTAGAATGGCCCTTCTGGCCCATCTGTGGCCCTAGAGGACTGTCCCCACGAGCAGGCGGGAGGGTTGGCACTTACATGACACCTGACTGGGAGCACTGGCTGCTGGTCTCATAATAGTCAGCTACGTATTGGCGTGGAATCTTCTTGGCGACATAGGTGAAGCAGCAGGCTGTGGGCGTGTCAGCACCAACTGTAGAGCAAGGGACAGAGTGAGCCAAGCTGTCGTTTAGAAGAAGGAGCCATCCTGCTCCTTTCCAGGATGAGGAGGACGGCCTTGCTCCAAGCAGAGGCTGGAATACCAGGTCACTGGTAGGCATTTGGGCATATTTGCCTAGAAATATCTGTCTCTATCTTTGTTTTTGCCTCTACTTTCTCTTTAACTCTTCACTGTGAGCTCTGTTTTCCCTATGTAATTTGGCAGATTATTCTGCTGCCTCGTCTCTCTTCAGAGAATTTTACCTTGTTCAAGAAATCATGCCCCGGTAAAAAAGAAGTCAAGGCCATCTCTTTTGAGACAGCACTCCAGCTAGTGAGAAGGTGACATCCCTAGGAAGTACCCAGACTTCGAGTCTGCCTCTTGCAAATTCACTCATTTAGGGCCCTGTTTTTCTATCTGTACAAGGCAGAGTAACTGTCCTGCATACCCCCCAACCCTCACTCTCAGACATACAGACCAGAAGCGTGAGGGCACATTGTAAATATGAAAGAGACAGATCAAGATTTTTCTAGTCCTTTATGAAATTCTTTTTTCCCTTGGAGACTCTGAGGCCACAAGAAAAGACTGAGTGATCTCCTCCTAGCTGGGAGTGGGGACACCTGCAAAAACAGCACGAACTCACCTGGTGCAGAGAAGACCTGGTCGCAGAGAGTCATGGCGCAGAGCAGGGCAGCGAGGACAGCCACGGAGACTTTCATGATGCTGAGCAGTTGGTGGAGTACAGGCTCGAGTGTCAGCAGAGCCGAGAAAGGCCTGGGTACTAGGTGCTGCCTGTGTGCTTCTGGTGTCTCAAGCCATCGTCTCTGCTTTTTATAGGCAGCCCAGGCCAAAGGGGAAATACAATCTGGGGGTGACAAGGGAAAATTTTAAACATGGTAATACTGTCATCTGAGCATTGCACAACTCAGTCTTGGTGACCACAGGGGTTCAGGATATCCAAGAATAGCATCTCTGAGCTTTGGGTCTCAGCTCTCAACTCATGACCTGCTCTGGGTTCTTTTGGGGAAAATGGTTTCCCTTAGGAGCAGGAGGAGAAGGGAACGTGTTGGCTCAGGGCTATTCTTAGCTGGTCCTTTCTCATAAGAACTGATCTATAAATGAGTTCCCTGGTCCCATTTGTTCCCACAGAACTGAAACTGCTTTTTGAGGCCTCCCTAACCACATGGATGGTGTACTTGTGGGCAGTAGCACAGCTTCCCTACCCCATCCCCGTACAATGAACTGAATTAAGGAATCCCCAGATTGAGGAACAGGAAGTATGAGGTCACGTTTCACTCCTTTGTTCATTCATCAAAGAGTCACAGGGTGACTAGGGCACTGGGTTAAGCACTAGCTGTAGAACATAAAGATACTTTAGGTGTGGGTGTTAATATATCAAGAACCTAAAAATATTCATACCCATTCAACTAGAAATAGCTTTTCTAGGAAAGTGTAGCATGGAAACAACCAAGACAGGGCGGCATCTTCAAACATAAAGATGGCCCAACATCACCTATAACTCACTTTAAAACTTATAACATCACTTTAAAAAAAAATTAGGAAACCTAATTTTTTTCTATGAAGGAAATGATAAAGTAAATTATGGCATATACATAATTAGGCCTTTAAATTGAATGAAGTGGCATAAATATACTCACGAAAAATCAACACAAAAAAGTTGTACAAGATCAATAATTGAACAAATGTTTGGAAATGTACACATACTTCCTAACAATTGTAGGTATGAGAAAACCAAAAAGTGTTGAAAATAAATGCCCTAAAAATTAACAATGCTTGTCTTTGTGTGATAAGTTTACAGGTGATTAATTTCCTTTTTCATTTTTTTCAGAATTTTCTCATTTTATTTAACAAGGCTGTATTACCTTCCTTGTCAATCATAAATTCTATTTTAAAATATTTACAAGCATCACTGGTTGACAGTAACTTTTTATGTATTACTTTTATGAAAAAATAATTTTTCATGTATCTGAATCATTTTAAGACTACTATATAATATCTACATAAGCAATGCTAAGCTCAAAGCAGTTTTGTACTTATTTTAATGTACAATTTCAGTGATATAAAAGTCTACACTACCAGTTAAATCTGTTTTTCTTTTCCATCCTTTATATTACTGTTTGATAATTAATAAGCCTATACCACATGTTAAAATGAGAAATTAGTTCAATTCTTTTTAAAAACTTTTTTTAAAATACTGAGTTTATTCCACATGTATATATATATTTTTGGGTTTTTTTTTTTTTCCAGTACCAGGAATCAAACTCACAACCTCGCACTTGCCAGGCAGGCGCTGTGCCACTGAGCTAAATCCCCAGACCCTCACATGTATATTTTTGTCTCCTCACCATTTCCATGCCTGACCACCATGACCACTACTACACCCTACTACATAACATTCCCTACTACCTACTTAAAACCCAAAGTTCCATCTTTAAAAACTAAAGAGACATTTTGGGCAATGCATTTCTGGCAATGGAACTTGGACATAAATCACACATGGTAAGGAAATTTCTCTCTTTGTTTTATACAAAGGAAAACCAGATATCAAGTGTTACAGAAGTGAAATAAGACCAAACATGTTAACAAATTGCATAAGCTATTTTCTTAAAGAGATTTCCTTTACAGACAGAGGTCTTGAATAGCCTCCTTGTCAATCATCTGAAAACAATTTTTCACATAATTACTTGATTGGCTTCTACTTTGAGAAGAGAACCACCTTTTTGTATGATTGCTTGCAATTTTGCTTTAATATCTTCTTACAGATTTAGATCCTTTTGTATTTTATGATCCCCCCCTCCTTTGTTTAACCTTTGATCCTTATGTGGAGGGTACTGGGTCTTTTCCATTTTGATTTGATTTTTGTGCACTTTTGATTGAAGTATTTCATATAAGTTTCTTCACTGGAGGATTTTTTTTTTTTTTTTAGTTAACTCATCATCAAAATCATCATCACAATCATCTTCTTCATCATCACCATCACCTTCTCATGAGCCAGTTTTACTTTTTTGTGTGGAAACTTGCTACCACATCTTGGGTGATTACTTTCCAGATATACTTAAGAGGGTTACATCCTCTTCCTCTTCCTCTTCTGACGCTGCCTCTTCCTCTACAGCTACTAAGAGCTGTCCATGAACGTATTCAGGGCTTCAACCACACTTCAACCTTAAAACTACAGGTCGTGTAATTACAAAGCCCCCAAGGCAAACCACTGGCTGTATAGACATTTTCAAAGTTATTGGTGTTACTTTAATTGGGCTGCCTTGTAATTCACTACCTCTATCTTAACAATGTTCAATTGACCCTTTGCATCAATCTCTAAATCGACCACTCTAAATGAGAACCAGTGCTTAGTATCATCATTATTCACCTTAAATATTGTTGGCCAGCCTTTAATTCACAAGCAAAAAGATAGCTCTGTGACCTCAGGGGGCTCATGCCACGTCTACCAAATTTTTAATGGAGTGGTGATACACATCTGGGAGAGGAGGTCGGCAAAGATAAATGAATAGTGCTCTGAGTTCTTTGTAATGGATTTATCCTCAGATGCCCCCAGACTAGCAGGGGCCAGTAGAGTATGTGAATAGGTAATCACAGCACTTAGCAGAAAATGCTAAAACTCTTATAAGAAGATGAAGTGAAAGTTAAGAACACTTAGCACAAGGAAAAGGAAATGATCTTCTGCGGGAAGATGGGGGAAAACTTCATTAAAGGGATGGCACTTTGGTTGGCTCCTATAGAACACATAGGGAGGGGTGGGAGGTAGAGGTCCAGCTGATGCAAAGTTACAGGTGTGACCTTGTGGGCTCAGAAGGAAAGGGAAGTTGTTCAGTGGAGCTGTAGGATAGTTTCAGGAATATGGATGAGGGAGCTAAATTGGAGCCCAACCAAGAAGGGCTTGAAATCTCCCCAAGGGAGTTAGAGTGGACATGTCAGATACTAGAGAACAATGGAAGACATTAGACATAAGCAAAGAAAGATCACATCTTAGGGATTCTGTCCTTCCTAGGTGTCTGTAGAGTTACAATTTTAAGAACACACAGGTTCTTTCCACACCCTCCCTTTGATCGCTAATGCTGGTAGTAAGGCAGGGGAAGCAAGGGCAAGATCAAGGGCAATCAATGACATGTTTCATTGAGGCTGTGGCATCCACATATCTTCCTGTATGTCTATCAGTTCCCCAAAAAAGAAGTCACTATCACTTATTTGACTAGACACTACTCTACAGATGATTCCTCCTTCACCCACATTCTCTGTCCCCCCATCCTTCGCTGATGGCCCAGGTACCTTCTCTCACTCCTTTCTTTTTAAAATTTTTATTAGGACTCTTTTGATACACCTGATGATCACATACATTATATGGAATTTGTACTGGTACATAATATATCTTGACTCTTATTTTTTCCCCATTCTCTTCCCCTTCCTTCAACCCTATTTCCCTCCTTATTTACAAAAGCTTTGATTCCACTTTTTCTTCTGTTCTCCTTTTTTTCCTTTTCTCTTCCTTCCCTTCCTCCTCTCCCCTCCCTCATTTCTTAGAGAACTACCTTCCTATGCGTGATTCAGTTTCTATGAGTTGGGGAAGGAGAAAAGAGGAAATGGAAATTGCTGAATTAACCACTTTTCTGATAATGGACATGATTTGCTTCCAGGATTACAATAATTACCACAGAGTAAAATAAGTCATCTATGAAAATTTTCTTCAAAAATTTAGATGATGTCTTGTAGACTTTAAACCAAATGAGACTACGTCTTGTTGGTTGATCCTAGTTAACCAAATTCTGGCAAGTGATGATTATAACATGAAGAATCTCCCAACCAAGTCTCTGTTTATCATGATGTTGTTCTTTTTAATAAAAGTGATTTATTGAGTGTATGATTCTTAGTGTTCATATACTTGTAAAATTTTCCATATTAATCCCCAAACCAGGAAATAACCTTTTGCCATGTGTTTTTACTTGGATTGGAAAAGAACATATTTTATGCATAGTATGTACTTAATATATATGTCATTTAAGTAATGGGAGCCATAGGGTTGAGTTAGAAGAGTGTTGGAAAATTCCTAAATAGCAAGTTAATGTTCCTAGGTGATTGTTTTTTTAATTTAACCAGTGTTACACAGATGGAATTGGTCAGTTGTATATTTCACTGTCTGCATAATTTACCAATATATGTCCAATAATAACCATATTGCCTGACACAGTGAAGCTTACTAAATATCTGGTGAATGAATAAATCACACATTTGACTTTTAGTAGCCAGGTTGTTATGCCTTAATTGTCAATATGGAATTGAAATACTAATAAGAAGGCAAGGATAAGAGAGGCCATATGTCGCATTCTTGGTCTTTGGAGAAACATCAAGATTTCTTAGGTGGTGGTGATGACAGAAAATAACCAGCAGTCAACCTAGTGGATCCTTCAGGATAGTGGGGCTGGATTTGTGTCCTAGATTTCCAGTGCATTCCAGCCTCCTTGAGGCTCCACCTCAGTCCAGCGTGAGTGCAGGGAATTCTGGCTGAGCAAGTCATCTTCTCCAACATCACTGCCTTAGATTAGACCCTGTAGGATTGGTTTCCTTCCAGTTTCTGGGCCTGTGGCTCCACTTTCCCAGATGTCAACAACAGCAGCAGTGGCCCATGGATGGGTTCACTGGTAATGATACCCTTGCTGGGCCTAGCTTAAGCTTCGTTTTCTCAGGAGGGGCCCACATAGGTTGCAGCAGGCAAGGCCCTACACTTCATGTAGGCAAAAACAGAATCCCGAGGCCCCCTCCTGCATCTTGGAGAGATGACATC